AGAATGAAATGAACACTTTGAGAAGGGTTCAAATTGTTTGTATGTATATGCAGAGGCAAAGAAATATTCTTTTATCACATTTTTCACAATGTGATTCTCCTGCATAGTTGGGATATATAGTACATGTGTCTACTGTAGTTATCAGCTGCAATGAGCTAGAACTCTTTGATGATGGTTTGTGCTAAATAAATGGCCACAACAGAAAGATGCATGTTTGTGAAAATGAGACAAAATGATTAATTACAGAAGTATTTAAAATACTACCTGGCAAATGCTGCCATGCTGACAATTCAGTGCTCAGTTTTGCAAAGGTCAGTGTTTAGTGGCAATGACAATTTAAGGAAAAAAGAAAAAGAATAAAAAAGAACAGAAAAAATCTTGCTTTTAATAAAATGATCAAAGTGACAATTAAGTGTAATACATTAGAATGTTACACTATTAACAATATGGTTAATGTTTTCATCAATATAGTGTGCTTTATTTGAAAAATTCAAACTACTGAGTGAGCAAGGGAATGACTAATCTCATCACTTGTCTATGATCAAGTACAATCAGAACCATGCATTACCCAGAGAGAGTATTTTGCAGATGGGAAATAAATAGGAGCAGAAAAACAACTTACCTTAGATCACAACCTTCTTACAGGGGATAGCTAAAAACTGCACACAGGAGTCCTAACTCCAATAACAAGAGTGTTGGAAGAAGTGGAGCCGAAATGCTCCTTGGAAGTGAGATTGACCAGACTTCATCTCACCTACATTGGCCGTATTATCAGAAGGGACCAATCCCTGGAGAAGGATACCATGCTGGGTCTAGTAGAAAGTAGGCGAAAAAGGGGAAAACCCTCAACAAGATAGACTGATACAGTGATGCAATGATGGGCTCAAGTATAGCAAGGATCATGTGTATGGCTCACAAGCAGGTAGTGTTTCTTTCTGTTGTGCATAGGGTCACTATGAGTTGGAGCCAACTCTATGGCACCTCACAACAACAACAACAACATTAGTTTTACTGATTTCCTTCTTTTGATAAATCAACAGTCAACTCTCATTCTCTCACTTAAACAAGAGCAAAACATCACCTAAGGAACAAAATGTTTTTATTATACAATATAAGATGGCCTAAATTTTCTAAAAAGTCAAAAAGTTTGGATTCTGGTAATGCAAAATCTTTTGAATTCTTATAGATAACAGTAAAAAAAACTCTGGTGGCATAGTGCTTAAGGCATTTGACTGCTAACCAGAAGGCTGGCAGTTCAA